TCAGGGTACACATTTTTGTAACCGGTTCTTTGAGTCGGTAGTTAAGAAATACTCTATCACTCATAAAGTTGGCACTCCATACCACGCTCAAACTAGTGGCCAAGTAGAAGTCTCGAATAGGGAGGTAAAGCACATAATTGAGAAAACGGTGAGACCGGATAGGAAAGATTGGTCACAACGGTTAATTGATGCATTATGGGCTTACCGCACTGCTTATAAGACACCCATTGGGATGTCACCATATAGGGCAGTGTTTGGCAAAGCTTGTCATCTCCCGGTTGAACTTGAGCATCGAGCATTGTGGGCCATAAAGAAGTTTAACTTCGATATGGCCGCGGCTGGGCTCAATCGGAAATTGCAACTCAATGAGCTGGAGGAAATCCGGAATGATGCATATGAGAGTTCGAGAGTTTTTAAAGCTCGGACTAAGGAATTCCATGACAAGCACATTAATAGAAAATCTTTTGAACCCGACCAAAATGTGTGGCTTTTTAATTCAAAATTGAGACTCTTTCCGGGTAAGCTAAGATCAAGATGGGATGGCCCTTTTGAGGTTGTTGAGGCATTTAGTCATGGCACCGTTGAGGTGCGATATCCAAAAACTGGCCACACTTTCAAAGTGAATGGCCAAAGATTGAAACCATATATAGAGGGGATTGGGAATGGGGATATGATTGAGTCCATTGCTTTGATGGACCCATTTTACTATGATTGATAAATTGATTTCTTGTTTTCTTTTCTTTCCCTTCTATGCTATTATGTTTTTCTTTGTTCTCGTTATGCTTTACTTGCGTCTAGGAGACTTTAAATCCTCTAAAGGTGTAATTCTTTTGGTGTTTGCCGTGCTCGAATGGCATCTGACGGTCTGGTATAGCCACCTAACCGTGTTTGTAGTGAGTTCCTAGGAGACCAACTGAGACGGTGGAAACTAGAGTTCGAATGACAAAGCCTAGAACACAAAGGTTTGGGATTTCTGAGACTAAAACCTGGTTTAAATACTCAGGGGTGTGGAGATTGCTTCAAAACTACCTCGGCTTGAACTCTGTATGGCAGCCCCATAGATTGAGGTAGCTTTATGCGCCTCGATTCTGGATACCAAATCAACCTAGTCTGTCACCCTGTTGGAGAATAGGGAAAGTTACAAATACAGTTAGGGAGAAAAGTAGTACCCGTAATTTTCGCGTGAAGATTATACCTTTAATGGGCATTCCGTATGTTCTTTTGTGCTATATTTTTTCCGGATGTCAATTGAAGGTAGAAATGTTTATTCTCTGTGTTTAAAAGCATGCTTTCATGTTAAAAAAAAAAAAAAAGGGTGAAATTGCCGCACTTGCGGCCTGGGCCCCGCACGTGCGGGAAAATTTGGCAAAACCAACCTTGCACTCTGCTAAATAAGCAAGTGCGGAATGGCGTGCGTTGACCAGCCACACGTGCGGCTTGACTCCCACACGTGCGGGAAAAAAAAAAAAAAAATTTTTTTTTTTTTTTTTTTTTTTTTTTTTTTTTTTTTTCGTTTCTACTACCAACCAAAGCCAACCGCAAGTACGGGAAAATTTGGCAAAATCAAAGTTGCACTCTGCTAAATAAGCAGGTGCGGGAACGGCGTGCGTTGACCAGTCGCACGTGCGGGTTGACTCCCGCACGTGCGGGAAAAAGAAAATTTAAAAAAAAAAACAAAAAAAAAAAGAGTAGCGCGGGGGATGGAATCGCCGCACGTGCGGCCTTGACTCCTGCACGTGCGGGACGGAGAAATTTCAAAATAATAATAATAATTTTGTTTTGTTTTCTTATTATTATTATTTATTTTTATTTTCATTTACTAATTTTTTTTAATTTTATTTTCGTACCCAAAAAAAAAAAGAAGGGGGGTTTAGTTTTGGTTGTTTTACTCTATACTTTAGTCTATTTGGTAGTTTAATTATTTTATAGTTTAGTTTAGTTTAGTTTATAGTTTAGTTAATTTAATTTAATGACATTTTACTTCATTTATTTAATTAAAGAAAAAAAAACAGTGGGAATTGCATGTGGTACATTAGTGGGCAAATTTGTGCTTTCATATTTTATTCGATTCTCATGCTGGTTTCACGGGTATCTGTATTTATTGTTGGTGTGTGCAGGATATGAATCGCCGTATCTCTGCTCGGGCCTCCAAAAAGGCCAGGGGTGCCTCCTCTTCGGCGCCACCACCACTACCATCACCACCATCCTCGCCACCACCACCAGGTGACTCGCCACGGCCGGAGTGGGCTTCACGCCCTCTTCACAAGCTCACGCAGTTCAACCTGCAATTTTTCCAGCATGACGAGGACATTACTTGGGCCGTTGAGCAGCTCCGACTCCGGCAACAGTTGGGCATTTGCGCTGTGACAGCGCCCACTTATCCTCGTCTGGTACGATTATTCTACCAGAACCTGCATGAGACACCTACCACGGTTGGACTGCTCTCCAACATTAATGGTCATGTTGTCCATATCGCCTCAGCCATGATTGCCACAGTGTTAGAGTTTTTCGCCAAACCAGATTATCAGCCTTTCCCGGAAGTTGCGGATCAACAACCTATACATCGCCTCATCCAGCAATATTTCCCGGGAGCCCACGGTGACAACAGTTTCACATGCTTGCGGCAGAGCAAGCTACCTAGCCGCTTGTTTTTCCTTGATTCCGTGGTCCATAAGAATGTCCTTCCACTTGGACATCGAGCTGAGCACCGTTTGGAGTTTGTGCGGGTTTTACACGGGTATCAGCTTGGCTATCAGATCCCGCTTGAGGATTTCATTTTGCTACATTTGCAGAAATTTCTACGTGAGGCAGTTCGGCCTACTCCTATGCTGAACCTGACTTGGCCATTACCATTCGTCAATTCGTTGACACTTGTGTTTGAGCTGAACCACCTCCCCATTACTGAGGATGAGGAGATTGATAGAGGGTATCCGACATTCGGCCAGCGGGAATGACAGCACAGCATATCTTGCATCCCGCAGCCGGTAGGTGCCCCAGTTGATGAGGCCCAGGACCCCGTACATGACCAGCCAGCTCATCCTGTTCCCCCCGTGCCTCCCCAAGGGGACCCACTCTACATGACTCGCAAGGAGTACTTACAGCTTCAGCACTCTGTCGATCAGGTCCACCGTACTCTTCATGATCACCACCAGAGTCTCATGGAGTTGCGCACGGATTTTTAGGCTCATCGCGACTATTCTCAGGCGCGCTTCGATCAGATACACGCCGACAACCTTGCCATCCGGCAACAGGGTTAGGATGACGCCTTTGAGACACGCGCTTTGATGCAAGCCTTGTTTGCCCAGCATTTCCCACCACCACCACCACCGGCTTCTCCGTAGTGAAGTGTGTATATGTTACTCTCTGCCTACCTGGATGTGCACCTACAATTCTGGTAATTTTCTCTCATTTCTCTTTCCTTTTCCATTGAGGACAATGTCATATTCAAGTTGGGGGATGAGGGTTATATTTTCTTTTGTGCATTGCTATTTGGCTCATAATTCATGCTTATACATGTTTCACTTGAATGCATTACTTCACTTGATGTGACTTTTTGCTAGTAGAGTGATGATATTTGCATATGTTATTTGGAGATCATAGTAGACTTGTATGAAAAGGGTTTATTGGGTAGATACTTGCATGCCATGTTTGCACGAGGAGAGTTGTCTATTTTTGTGGTATTAGTACACTTGTTATGAGTATGCCTTAATTCACATGAGCACACTATCATAGCAGTGATCTTTTTATTATAATCCCTGGTGTATATCATTGATAATAGCTAGAGTTGCAGAAAAGAATAAATGAGGAGCCAAGATTCTTAAAAAAAAAAAAAACCACTTGACTAGTTTGGGTTCGTAGCCTTTTTAACTCGAGTTATTAAGCCCGTGGGGTGTCTCTACACCTAATGCCCTAAAATCGTCTGGTTTGGGAGTCATTGGCCCAATGCTTGTTACATGGGTTAATTAGAAAGCTTAAGGGACATGGACATTGCACAGTTAAGCAAAAATAAGAAGAATGACTTGTTCGGATTCGTAGCCTTTTCAACTCGAGTTAATAAGCCTGTAGGGGTGTCTGTACACCTAGTACCCTAAAACTGTCTGGTTTGGGAGTCATTGGCCCAATGCTTGTTACATGGGTTGATTAGAAAGCTTAATGGATCAGGACATTACACAGTCATTTAAAAAATTAAAAAAAAACAACTTTTGAAAATCTTGGCTGCAACAGGTTAGTTTTTCTGTATATGATGGGTGTTATTATGAGTTACACTGGGCTATTATAGTGGATAGTTAACTAATATGGAGATTGCACTTTACACCAAGGGTATTCATGACTTGTCTACTAGCATGCACAAGTATAGGGAACTTTACTTTTGTATTAACTGAATTGCGGTTTTGACTCAATAGGTTCCTTCATGCTTGTCCACTGTGCCTTTAATGACTCATGATGTCGTAATATCACACTGTAGTGGCACATAAGTTGATTGTTAGGTGGAGTAGTGTGGTCATTTGTTATTGAGTATATATGAATATGTTAATGTTTGTGGGTATCATTTCTGGAAACCCTCACGAGACTTTGCTTGTCCACCTGGGGTAACCTTGTGGTTTAAAGGCTTGTTGCATATGCTAAATGCAATCGTTTTCCCACGAAAGAGGAAATAGATAGATTTTGTTTAATTTTATTTTATTTTACTTGCTTGAGGACTAGCAAGTTGTAAGTTGGGGGATGTGATTAAGGCCGAAATATACATCATTGAGGCCGTTAATTAGAATCTCTTAATTTCACTTGTTGGTCAAACTGTATATTTTATGTGTGTTGAGTGTCAATCAGGTTGTACATCATTGGAGCACAAAATGAGCAAAAAGACAGAATTTGGGCAGAGTTGACTTTCCTGCACGTGCGTTGACTTTTTCCGCACGTGCGTTGACTTTTCCGCACGTGCGTTGACTTTTTCTGGGAAAGTCAAACCCCTTCAATCCCTTTTCCTAACAAAAAATAAATAAAATAAAACTGGTTGTTTCGATTGTGTTTTTGTAGAGGATGAGAAAGAAACGAAGCATCTAGAAGCCCTCGAAGGAGCAGAATCGCGTCTCCGCCTCTTTCAGATCGATCTCCTCGATTACGACTCCATCGTCGCCGCCGTCACTGGCTCCTCCGGCGTCTTCCATCTCGCTTCCCCTTGCATCATCGATCAAGTTAAAGATCCCGAGGTCCGTATAATGCATACATATCTATAATTGTTTTCGTTTGATTATCATGTCGATGTGCTATATGTATCTCTCTCTGCTTGGGTTTGATAACAGAGGGAGCTATTGGAACCGGCAATTAAGGGGACACTCAACGTGCTCACGGCGGCCAAGGAATTGGGGGTTCGGCGGGTGGTGGTGACCTCGTCTATATCGGCTATCACCCCGAGCCCTAACTGGCCGGCCGACAAGGTCAAGAACGAGGGTTGCTGGACTGATGTTGAATATTGCAAGCAGAATGGAGTGAGAAGCCTTTTCCCCTTTCTGTTTGCTCATAATTTTTTATTTTAATAAATTTTATTGCTTTAATTTTACTTATGTTTGAGAAATTTGGAATTCTAGGCCTTCAGCAACTTTAGCTATCACAACTGAATTGGTTCAAAGGCACGCCTAAATTACGAAAGTTGTAATTTTTTTTTATTTTTGTTGTTATTGAAATCGTATATTATCTTAGCAACAAATTATCATTTTTGGTTTAGAAAGCGTCTGTATTAATCATGGTAAGGGTGTGCTGTAATGTTAGTAATTTCAGTTAGGAAAAGAGAGATGTAGGAATGTATGGCAAAAAGAAAATAAAACCAAGGAATATGTTTTTGTTGAAAAACTATTTAGTTTACTGGAAAAAGTATGCCAGAAAATAAAGCATGGGCTTTCTTGTGATGCTTTGTTATGTTAAATTAGCATGAAGCTCTCACTTATAATTTAAATAATTGAAAAAGTTGTGGGTGGGTTTACTGAATCATTTAGTAACTAAACACATGCGATGCAAGGCAAATGGTTTTATCTTATATTTATTTCATTTCTATATCAAACATCAAAGAAACCGTTCCACTTACTACATGAATTTCTATATCAAACGTCAAAGAAGCCGTTTCCAATTTATCCTTGTGTATCTTTTAGAGTAAGTTTGAAGCTTACTTCATGTGTGATCCCTCTTGTGATCTCATTTAGCTTCACGAGGTTTCTACTCAAAGGAATATGAACTCATTTAGCTTAGTATTATCACTTTAACATTAGCTTCACGAGGTTTCTACTCATGCTTATATTATATGTTATTGTGGTATTGAGTAAACTACTTACCCAAAACACAAAAATGGTTAGTAAAATATTCTCTTAAATTTATATTTTTCTTTTTAATGTTGCTGTGAATATTTTCTTTCTTTATACTAGAAGGATTGCGGCATTGTTTACAGATTTTTAAACCTGAATTGTCTTTTTTGTTGGCTAGTTATGGTATCCACTTTCTAAAACACTAGCTGAGAAAGCAGCTTGGGAATTTGCTAAGGAAAAAGGTTTGGATGTGGTTGTGGTGAATCCTGGAACTGTTATGGGTCCTATTATCCCCCCAGCTCTTAATGCAAGCATGTTAGTGCTTCTTCGCTTTCTTCAAGGTAATTTCTGCAAAAGTTACACGTTATCATAGATTTTATTAAAGCATGCATTGATTTTAAATGCAGCATTTAGAAAGACTGAATGGGACTAAATATATTTCTTAGTATTTTTTTTTTTTTAAAATCTACAGTTGCAGGGTTTAATGATATCCTTCTAAAAATGGGAGGAAGGGGAGGAATGATAGACACAGGGCTAACTTCTTATCAGTGTAACAATTATTTAAAAAACTAATGTGGCACTTTATTTTTGGCCAGGCTGCACTGAAATATATGAGAACTTCTTTATGGGACCTGTCCATGTTAAAGATGTGGCCCTAGCACACATATTGGTCTATGAAAATACATCAGCTACTGGAAGGCACTTGTGTGTTGAAGCTATATCACATTATGGTGATTTCACAGCCATGGTCGCAGAACTTTATCCTGAATATAATGTCCCCAGGTAATGTGTTTTCATCCCCATACTTGCAACTGTTTCCATTAAAGTTATTTACATGATTTTTAGCTAGGAAATATCTGATAGTGCTGTGATGGACAAAAACAATTTTGTTCACCCACCTTTTGGGTGAATTTAACTACCCCTTGATTGGTTATTCTACCAGGGGCCATTGCTTGGGCCCCACTTAACCCAATAGAAGAACCAATTGGAGAGGTGGTAATGTGAACTGACTTTGTGATGGACTGTGAACCTTACGGAGTCTACCATATGGTTAAATCATTTATGGCTTTGAAGCAGTCTGTTTCTGTTTGGGTCTTTCTAGAAAACAGGGGCTAGGGTGATCTTGCTGAGATTGTAATCTATGTATTTTGGCTTTCCAATGAGTAGCTTTCCGTATCTATCATATAAATTTGTGGAGATAGGATGAAGACTGGAAGGTGCCACCTTGGCAGTCAATAGTAAAGACTTGGGATCAAATCCCGCTTTTATTTGGATTGAAGGGTCATGGGCAGGGGCAGGGCTATCGCTGAGACCTGATTGCCCATCACGATTGGACTAAAAGAAATGGGATGAAGACTTGTTGAACATCATGTTATCGTGCAGCTGATGTTAGGGGATTGTAGCTGGTTCCCTTATCTGTGATGTTATAGGCCCTGTTTGGTAGAGCTGTGGGAAAGTGCTTATAGCTTATGCCTAAACAGCTTATAGCTTATAACTTTCAGCTTAAGCTGATTTCCAGCTTATTCTTAAAGCATCTCCTGCCCCACTCAAAGAATAAGCTGTTTTCTGACTTCCACAAAGCTATAAGCTATAAGCTATAAGCTAAACCAAACACATCAAAATAGCTTAAATTAAGTTGAAAGCTGAAATAAGCTGAAATTAAGCTATACCAAACAGGGCCTTTGCCTCTCTTTTTTGGTTTTTTTATTTTTTAAACATGTATAGTAAAGGTACAAATTAATGACCAAATTGGTTTGCCCCTGTTTGGTAGGTCAGAAGACAAAGTGATTAAAAATAGAAAAATGCTTTGTTTCTCTAATTTTTGAACTCTAAAGGTAGCTCTAATGAGTTGGCAGTGGGCTCCACTCACAGTGATGTGATGTTTTGGTCTTGGTTTGTTTTTATTTTATTTTATTTTATTTTGTTCATTGCTCTGTCATTAGGAATCCGGATCCTCGGCCGCCCTACCCGGCAGCCCCCCAAAACGACGTCGTTTTTGGGGTTTTTTTTTTTCTTTTCTTTTCTTCTTCTTCGTTCTTTTCTTCTTCTTCGTTTTTTCCGACGAGCTGCCATAACCAGAGGGGAGGGGAGAGGGAGAAGAGGGAGGAAGGAGAAGGGAGGAGGCTGCGACCTCACCATCGCAGCTCGTCGCCTCGTCGCCTCGCCGCCGGCCGTCGCAGCCGTCCGATCAACGCCCGATCCAGATCGTCGCCTCCAGTACTGCACCGCCGTCGCCTCCGCCTCCGGCCCCGCCTCCTCCTCCTCCTCCTCCTCCTCCTCCCCCACTGGTTATGGCCCCCTCCAGTTTGGCCCTTCCCTTCCTCCTCCTCCTCCTCCCTCCTCCTTCCTCCCTCTCTCTTCCTCTCCTTCCTCCCTCTCTTCCTCTGCGTTTTTTTTTTTTTTGAAAATTTGTCCCCAAAACGACGTTATTTTGGGGGCGACAGGGGAAGGCGACGGGTGATCCGGATTCTTCCCATGTAACCAACAGACATGTCCGTGCAGACTGCAAAGTTGCTAACCGCATGACAATGTCGTATTTTGGCCCCTTTGGAAGTAAAAATAATAATAATAATTAATTTCTTGACTTTTTTATTTATTTAATTTACATTACTTCTTTTCTTTTGTATTTCGTAATAACTAAAAATTTTAATTTTTTTTAACACTTTTTAAAACAACCGTGTAATTATTAAAATAATTTTAGTATATTACGTAATATTATTTACATACATGATATTTTAAATTAATTATTGAATATAAAGTTTTATAAGTGAGATACATCGACTCATTTTTACTTAGATAATTAAGAGATAAAAAAATTCACATACTAAGAAGTACGTATTTTTTAGGATTATTTACACGGACACTTCTTAAATTATTGAGAAGTATCATTTTGACTCCTTAAAATATAAAAGTGTACAAATAGACCACCTAAAAAACTATGGAGAAATGCATCATTTTGCCCTTTAAACTAGAAAAATATACAAATAAATCCCATAAACTATGAAAACGTACTAATTAAACCTTTTAATGAAATAGGTCCAAGTGAAATATGTTAACAGGTTATAGGATTCATTTATATTTTTGAGCAAATTGTATTAAATCCCCTCAAACTATCGATCATTTATACTTTACCTTCCTAATGTTTTAAACCCAACAATTACCCCTATCAAAATATTTGAATTTGAACATTAAGTTCTTTTGTTAGTCATTTGTTACATATTTAAATGAAAAATTGTCAAGTGCTATAAACATGATGATTATATTAAATTTTTATAAAAATAAAATAGAGCAATTTGGTTATAAAATTTAATATAATTATCATCTGCACATCACTTGATAATTTTTATCCAAATATCTAACAGATGACTGACAAAAGGATTTAATATTCAAATTTAAATAGTTTGAGGGGATAATTGTTGGATTTAAAACATTAGAGGGTAAAGTGTAAATGATCGATTGTTTGAGGGGATTTAATAGAATTTGCCTTATATTTTTGTTTTTTTAGTTTAGGGGACATGACAATACTTCTCATTAGTTTGTGAGATTTATTTGTATACTTTTATAGTTGAGAAAGTCAACAAAATACTCCTAAAAAAATAACAAAATAATTGTCAATAGTTTAAGTGGTTTTCATATAAATAATATAAAAATACTACGTCAATAACACTACTTGATATTTCAAAGATATGTAACAATTATTTTTTTTATTATTTTTTTTATTTTTTATAGTATTGGTTATCTTGGGTAGCATCTCTTTCTCCCGTACAAGTAAGGTTTACGGGTAAGTTTCAATAATTTTAAAGTATTATTTCTAAAATTAATAATTAAGTAATTTTTAATTATTTTTTTTATTATTTTTTTTGAACGGAAAAAAAGGGTTTTGTGGTGTCATCACAGCCCCGTTGGGCCCTAGCCCCGGGGTAACCGGTTGCCAGCTAAGAATTAACCCCCACCAAGTGAGGGACTCACCACCAGGGTACCAATGGAGGGCAACCTCACGCCGCAGCAGAAGCCAGGGATCGAGGGGAGTAAAGGCATTGCTCACAGGGAGTGATCTCAAATACCCCTCCTAAAAATCGACCCTGGTTCCTCGGCTAGGGAATGGGCAGCTTCCTCCACCAGACCACCAACCATGGTGGTTATTTTTATTATTATTATTATTTTTTGGTTGAGAGACTAAAAATTTCGACAATCAACACATGACACAAGATTAGAGGGTTTTGGGCAAAGTATATATATCTTTGGTTGAATTACACTGACACCCTCTTGAGATTTATGTTTATTACAGTTCTCATCTTTATCTTTTGAAAATTACATCTCTCTCCTGAGGTTTAAAGTTTCGTTACAGATTCCCTCCTCAGCTTTTCTAATTTTTTTAAATACCAATTTTACTCTCATTGGGTAAATTACATTGACATCCTTCACATTTTAGAAATTACAATCCCCTCCCTAAGGTTTAATGTAGCATTACCAATTGCCCCCTCGGTTAGTATTAGTTGGAAAAAAAATTCATTGCAAAAAAAATTAAGTAAAAAAAAAATGCTAGTGAAATTTTTAAATTTTTATTTAAAAACCAACATAAACTTATTTTTTGAATTTACGTTTTCTCCTCAAATTTACAAACTGAGACAATCATTTATAAACCAAAAAAATTATCAAACAAATTTTTATGACAGTTTTTAAAATTTTTGTAAATATAAATTGAAAACTGAAAATGAAATGGTTACCAAACAGGTCTCAGATGGTAAAAATATCATAAAATTAACAAATAATTAAATAAATTACCAACGTAAGACATGACTTATTAAAAATTCTTAGGCTATATATGGTTTGATTTTTAGAATTTTTTTTTAAAATTAAAAATTAATTTGGTTAAGAAATAAAAAAAAAATTATTTTTTAAACGAAATTATTTTTTAAAAATTACTTTTTTATTTTTATTTCTTAACCAAATTAATTTTTAATTTTTAAAAGAAATTTTCAAAAATCAAACCATACATAGCCTAAGAATCTTTTGATAAGTCATTTCTTATGTTGGTAACTTATTTAATTATTTGTTAATTTTACGATATTTTTACCATCTGAAGCCTGTTTGGTAACCATTTCGTTTTCAGTTTTCAATTTATATTTACAAAAATTTTAAAAACTGTCATAAAAACCTGTTTGATAATTTTTTTGATTTATAAATAATTGTCTTGGTTTTTAAATTTGAAGAAAAAACGTAAATTCAAAAAATGAGTTTACGTTGGTTTTTAAACAAAAATTTAAAAATTTTACTAATAAATATTTTTTTTTCAATTAATTTTTTTCCAATTAATATTTTTTTTTTCAATGAATTTTTTTTCCAACTAATACTAACCGAAGAGGCAATTGGTAATGTTACTTTAACCTTGGAGAGAGAATTGTAATTTCTAAAATGTGAGGAGTGTCAATGTAATTTACCTAGTGAGGGCAAAATTGATATTTAGAAAAATTAAATTGTTGATATCAGCAAAATCTATTAATTGACTTAACAATTAACTAACCGAGAGAGCAATCTGTAATGAAACTTTAAATCTCAGGAAAGAGAATGTAATTTTTAAAAGATAAAAAAGAAACTGTAATAAATATAAATTTCAAGAGATGTCAATATAATCTACCTATTGTTTATTTATTTAATGAGTGATGCGAGCACCACATATTCTCTACTTCTATTTCTAGTTTTTTTCTTCTTTTTTTTTTTTAAGTCCTCTATTTCTAATTGTAAAAACGAAATAATTGAAACAAATGTCACATTCTGGTGAGGTGGTATACTGTTGTCATCATAAATG